AAATATCTTATAGCTATAAATGTTCCATTAGCTGACGGGCACGCCCTTGCAAGGCGGCAAGAGGGTTCAGTTCAATATGTTCCTTAAGAGCATTAATCGCATTGGCATCACCGAAAATCTACCCACAGTTCTGATGCCCGCCATTTGGGTGGAAGAGGTTAGTATTATCTTTACATTTAATTATAAAAAATATTTCTAAATTTAATTTTATCTCAGGGCATCCAACTCAATAGCGAAATGGTGGCCTTCTTCAAGAAGAAATTGATCAACACACTAAAAACCCTCAATATTGTCCACTGGGCGACCTTGTGCGGTGGCATTGGTGTGGCGGTGATATGCCTCATATACTATATCTATCAAAAGGGGCGTGTCGAGGAGCCACCCGTGAAGTAAGATATTAATCATAAATCCGTATTTGTTATTGAGTGTTATGTAAAGTGTATTTGTTATGTTATTATGATAATTATGAATGTAACACATGCAGTTTTTGTCTACGAATTTGTATATAATTTATTTTTTAAATGTGATTCTATTGTATTGTGATTTAGCGTTTACTAAAAAAAAAAAACAAGAAAAACTACCAAGAATTAACCAAAATGTTGTTTTCATTTAAAGCTAAGGTCTAAACATTTTAATTTGATTTATAATTCTTAGAAAGAGAATTTATGGCCTGACTTGTGGCTTTAATTAGGGAGCTCTCAGTCCTAAAATGTGTGTGGTTTCCAAGGAAACGAAATCTCAAGAAATGTTTAAACATTTCATTAAGTTATTTTAAAAACTTCTAAGACAATGCTAACCACAAAAATCACTTTGCATGGCCAAAAGCCTTGATCGATCCGCCTCCCTTCTTCGTGGCAATGACTCAAGTTCAAGACCAGATAATGAGGGAACCCGGGTATTAATCAATCAGCAACAGTTTTTCGGCCCAGCAATTTGCACAAAAAAGCGGCAATTAAAACACAGTTTATATTGCAACAAATTGGCTATCAGAGAAACACCGAAAAAACTTAGGCAACGGAGGCAGAAATAAAGGCGACTTGGTCAATCGAGAGATGCAAACAAAAATATTTCGCTGGGCAGATAAACAAAGACGATCCAAGGTGTTTGCATTACAATGCGATTGAGACACTATCTACGGGGTGGGGTCCCCAGTCGCGGGCATTGATTGACAGCCGCAAATCGCGCATGTCGATTTCTTGATTGAGTCTTACGAGGCGATTAAAAACGCGTGAAAAGCGCTGGCGACTCGCGCGATCGTCTGTCCCATAAATACGGGTATTCGGAATTAATTCCATCGGGCAAATGAGCTGCTAATGGCCCAGCGACTGCAGAACTTTCTAACCAATTTTTTATGGTCGATTCGATAATTTCGTTGTCTTTTCGTGGGGGGTTCTTGAGTGGCCGAGAACCTTTTTTCAGCTGTGACCGCCGCAGTAATTATGCAATAGCCACAACCAGTTTGTCTCGCTCGCCGCCAGTCGACGTCGTCATATTCAAATTGACTTTGGGCTGAAGATGCGACCGCCGGAGATTTCAGTCGTCAACGAAACGCGCAAACGCACACAGCCAGCTGGAAATCGAAAAATCAGAAAAAATATAAAACGCGAATACAAAAAACCGATGCGACACGCGTTGAAAAATTGCTGTAAAATTTGAATTTCAAATGACCTAAGGATCTTGCTCCAGTTTTTTGTGTGTTTCTCTGTGTGTGTTCTATATAAGAGTGATATTTGGGGGCTCGAGTGTCAGAACAGATCAAGATGCTGAGGTGGCCAGTGGTCTGCCTGCTGCTCCCGTTTTTGGCCACGGCCAAGATCTTTGATCGCTGTGAGTTGGCCCATGTGTTGCAGCAACGCTTTGGTCTACCTGCCGCCCAAGTGGCCACCTTGGTGTGCATAGCCCAGCACTCGAGTGACTTTAATACGGCTGCCTTTGGTGGAGGCGCAGGATTGGGCGGTGGCTCCCATGGCATCTTCCAGATCAGCGATGTCTACTGGTGCTCGCCACCTGGGCAGGGAAAGGGCTGTGGCCTGAGTTGTTCGAGCCTGAGGGACGACGACATCGCCGACGATGTCCTGTGCGTGAGGAAAATCTATGCGGAGCATCAGAGGATCAGTGGTGATGGCTTCACCGCCTGGCAGGCTTATGGCGCCTACTGCCGCCAGGATGCAGCCGCTGCCTATGTGGCAGGATGTGGAGGTCCTGGCAGCACCGCCCTGTCGGTGGCTGCCTCCTACCAGAGACCCCAGCAGGTTCAGCAGGTCCACAGCTATCCGGTGAATCACTACCATCAGGTGGCCCAGGTGCAGCCGCAGGGAAAGATCTACAGCCGCTGCGAGTTGGCCCAGGAGCTGTTCTACCAGCACAAGCTGCCCATGCCGCAGATTCCCCACCTGGTTGTGCATTGCCCAGCATGAATCCTCCTTCAACACGGCCGCCGTGGGTCGCCTGAATGCGGACGGCAGTGCGGATCATGGGCTCTTCCAGATCAGCGATCTCTTCTGGTGCACCCATGATCAGAGGGCCGGCAAGGGATGCCATGCCACCTGCAATCAGTTCCTCGACACCAGCATTGCCGACGATGTGCAGTGCATCCGGAGGATCCACCAGGAGCACACGCAGATCTCGGGCGATGGCTTCAATGCCTGGACGGTGTACAAGAGGAACTGCCTGAATCAGCACTACGAACAGGTGGCGGCCTGTTTTGCCAAGCCACCAGCTGCTCATCAGCACCCGAATGCCATCGGAGGAGGTCCTGGGAAGCCCAAGGTCAGCTATGCCTATCAATTCGGCCAGGTGCAAGTGCACCAGAACCCCATTACGCCGATTACTCCGGCTGTTAATCAATATTATCGACCTGCTGCGCCACCCGTTTTGAGTTACCAAACCAATGCGGCGACTGCCTACGCGGGGAATCCCTTCCTGCGTCCTCGTCCAGTTAACAATCCTCCCCGGCAGCATCCCAATGCCATTGGATTGCCCTTCAAAAACCAATCCCCCGCTAACCCCTTCTATAGCCACAAACAGTATCAGCCACACTATCAGACACCACACACCCAAACACACTACCAACGCACGGGTAAAGTTTACAATCGCTGCGAGTTAGCCCAAGAGTTGTATTTCTCACACAAGTTTCCCATGCAGGATTTGGCCACCTGGGTGTGCATCGCCGAGCATGAGTCCTCGTTCAAGACGGCAGCTGTGGGTCGCCTGAACGCGGACGGGAGTGCGGATCACGGGCTCTTCCAGATCAGCGATCTCTACTGGTGCACTCATGGCGAAGGAGGAGGAGGCAAGGGTTGTCACATCGACTGCAATCGCCTGCTGGACTCGGATATTACAGATGATGTCAAGTGCGTGAGGACCATCCACGAGGAGCACACTAGAATTTCGGGGGATGGATTCACCGCCTGGACGGTCTACAATGGACATTGCAGGCAGAAAACTAGAGCTGATATAGCCGACTGCTTCGAGGGTAAAGATCTGCCTGGGAGAAGTAGTCGGGAAACCAGCTAAGGGTAACGAAGTGGTTAGAAAGACACCCTCGCATTCAAGGGGAAAGATCTACAATCGCTGTGAGCTGGCAAAGGAACTTTACCACAGGCATAGGTTACCCATGAGGGAGATTCCCACCTGGGTTTGCATTGCCCAGCATGAATCCTCCTTCAACACAGCCGCCGTGGGCAAACTCAATTCGGATGGCAGTGAAGATCATGGTCTTTTCCAGATCAGCGATATTTACTGGTGTTCCCATGACCAGACGAGTGGCAAGGCCTGCCACATTGAATGCGATCGTTTGCTGGATTCGGATATTACAGATGATGTCCAGTGCATACGAACCATTCACGACGAACACACGCGACTCTCGGGAGATGGATTCAATGCCTGGACAGTTTACAATGGCCACTGCAGGAATCAGAACCTGGCCCAATTGAGCGACTGCTTCGAGGGAAATGAGATTGCAGAGGCGGATAAGATCACTCCTTATGGAGAGAAGCCACAGGTTAAGCCTGATAACCCACAGCAAAAAATAGCAACCAGTCAAGGCTACGCGGGAAATCCCTTTCTACAAGCAGTTAAGAAACCTCAGCCCACTAAGATCGCAAATAAAGATTACGAATAATATATCAGCTCCCAAGGAGCCACAACCCAATAAACTCTATGCCACCAATCCCTTTTTCAATAATCAACTGCAGAATAAACCTACTGTCGCTTCAGGGACCACTATTTACTCTACCCAAAAACCAAACTACGAACACAATCCCTTCCTGAAAGCCCCTGGTTCAATTACACCCACTGTAATTACTTCACATGCTTCAGAAGTCAAACCCCATGACAGTTTATCATACGCCCAGAATCCATTCCTTAGTCTACTTGGCAAACCAATTGTACCTGCTCAAGCACCCATCCAGTCCAAGCCCAAGCCCTCGAGCCCAAGTCAGAGCCCATCTAAGCCCACTCAGGTGGTCAACAGACCCTATGTCAGCAGCGACAGCTTCCGCAATGAGGTGATTAAGTTTACGGCCACCTCTGCGACAGCAGCACCAACTACAAGCGTTACAAAGCCATCTGTAACAACAACCACACGGAAACCTTTGACGGCGACCACAAAAAAACCAGTCTCAACTACGGCCAAAACAACTAGCTTGCCGTTATGGTCATGGCAAACTTCTACGACCGCTAAGCCCACAATAACAGAAAGTGGTAATCGATTTACGGCCACAACGAAAGCCCCTGCGCATCCAACCACCACTCGATCGGTGATAACCAATAAGCCAATCACTCAATCAACTACCCACCCAACAACTCGTCCGACCATTCGATCAACTACTAGTCAGGCTACTTACACCACTATCCGCCCAACTACCCGCCCAACTACACGCCCAACTACTCGCTCAACACAGACAACTACAACCAGACGTCCAGTACCTACAACTCGCCAACAACAATCAACAACTGTAAGCAAACACACCACTCGGCCTATAACAACTACTCGGCCCATTACAACCACACGACCAATTACAACAACTCACCAAGCTCTAATTACCAAAACCACAAATCGATATGCTGCCTTATATTCACCAACAAAAACAACTACTCGTTACACCACTACTACTCGACCAACAACGAAGTCCCCCTACCACAATATATCCGTTAATAAACCCACAACACGTCCTACTACAACTGGTCGTACAACCACAACTCGTTACTTAGCAACTACTCGGCAACCTTCGACAACGAGAACCACCAATCGCCCTGTTACAACTATTCGACCAATAACAACCACTCGTTATATTTCAACCTCTCAACAATCTTTAATAACCAAGACCACAAATCGAAATGCTGCCCTATATTCACCAACATATCGTCCAAATTCAACAACAAAAACGACAACCACTACAACTAAGTCCCCATACCACTATATATATGTCAATAAACCCACCACACGCCCAGTTTCCACTACTCGTACAACAACAATTCGTTACTCACCCACAACTCAGAAACCTTCGACAACGAGAACCACCACTCGTTACTCAACAACACCAAACACTCGTCAAGGAAGCACCACCCCAAGGCCATATTTGTTTACCTCAACGACGAAAAAGAGTGGCACCACTAAGAATCCCTTCGATCATCCGTTTTTCCAGAAATTCAAGGCAAAGTTTGAGAAATCTCCAACAACCCAAACGCAAAATCAAAAATCTACCAATACAATAACCGTAAATCAAAATCAAACTACCGTCAGTCCATATTATGCCAAATTCCAGGAAAACAAGCTCAAAACAGGAGCAAAAACGGTTCTTTCCTACGATTTTGGACAAAACAAAAACTCAACGAGTAGGCCAAAAAGTGCCTTCGATGTTTACCTAAATTGGAACAAAAATTAAGGGGGTTATCTTATGTGTGACACTTTTGGGACTTGTAAATATGCGTTATTGATCGATGTAAAACCACTAGTTTAGCATAATGGCAGAATACTCATACATTATTAATCCGTAAGCCTTATAAATAGGATTTAGATAATAAAATAAAAATAAAAACCATGCAAAATGTACGAAAATTAATTCAATTTCAGAGACTGGTTGGCGGGCAAAGCTGACAACGCGCCAATCGTCGCCAAGTGCGATTCGATCGTGGCTTTAAGCAGGGGCTATGATTAATTTTTGTTAACCCGTTTTTGACCGACTCTTGTTAACATAAAAACCGAGCACGGCGACAAAGACAAAGCGGGCCAAAGAACTGCAGAGATAACGTGTTTTGAATTTCAATTGGGTTCCCCAAAAATGTTCTTTAATTTCAGCAACTTATCAATTTGTATTTTGAATCTTAAGGCCTGAGAAACACCTGCTGTGCCATTAGCAGGCCATCCAACGAGATTGAGTGGTTAAAAAGCAATACTTTATTTTTTTTAAGACTCTTGATAAGAATTATATGGTTGTGCAAAAATTTGTATTACGTGAGATATAAAATCGGTAAGCGACCTACTTTTACAGTTTTACGAAATGCAATCCAAAGTAATGAGTTTGTACTCAATTTTATAACTTAAGTAGAGTTCTTAATTTAGTGCGAGCTATAATTAAAACATTGTTAGCATTATATAAACAACAAAACTTATTTTTTGCTTGCATTAAATAGAAATAAATCCATATTTATATGTCCAAATAGTTAATTTTTGTACCCACTGTTCGCTATAGATTTTGGTTTCGTTTCCACTTCACTGCGTTTTAAACTGGGCAAATTTGATTAACCCTTGGTTGAACCGTTCAATTTCTGGCAATCATTAATCGGCAAAACAAAAAAAATGTAGAGAACTGTAACGAAACACTGTATAATCATTTGCGTTTCATACTTTGAAGTGTAATTAATAACAACAATTTCTATACAAAATAGTTTTAAGGCCTACTTTTAAAAATTTGTTTGTATAGATTGTTGTTGTTTTTACACTTTTTACAAAGTTTCTTGATTTGTTTTTGGCCGTAATCATTTGTTTCATATTGATTTCAATGAATAGACCTATTCTAGTGAATAATTTTTTCACATCTTAAATTTGGGTGTGTGATGTAAATGTTTAAAATGTTTGTAGCGAATCACTCTAAAAAAAAAATTTACATACCTTTTTATATTATTTAGTCCAAAACAATATGTTTAATTTGACATATCTTTTTTTTAAAAGTTATTTTACTGTATTTTTTCTCAATGTGGACAAAGTAGATCTTTACTGGAAAGAAGAGAAGTCACTATTGAATTTAGAAATAAAATGGTTCATGATCGAATCTATAGCTAGCAGAAAACATCTGCCGCAAATTTATTTCCAAAAGGGGAAAGTAGTCCCATAAATTGATTGTTGAAACACTCGTATGCCATCGCAGCCTAAACAAAACAAATTGATTCGGCTGAGTCTGCTTCATTTTGGGCGCAATAAGCCAACACTTTTAAGCTGACATCAGTGGCGGATCTAGGAATTTGTTGTGGGGGGTGATACCAGAACATAATTTTTGTTGCACACTTTTTGAATACCAAAATTCGATTCATTTTTCACCCGAGTGGGGGGTGATATATCACCCATATCACCCCCCGTGGATCCGCGCATGGCTGACATAGACATTTTTTAATTTAAATAAAAAATTGGGGAAAAGCTATTATAATCCGGGTGAAACGCTAATCAGGACCCTAAAACTAAACATAAAAACAAAAAATGTTATACCCCATTGTATATCATTTAAACAAAAGTGACTTTTGTAAAATATTATACAAAGTTGTTCGACTAAAAAAAAATTAAGACAGAAGTCTATAAGCAGACCAAATTAGGAAAAGGTTAGGCACTTTAATTTATTTTTGTTCAAAAAACTTATGTTGAGGACCACCCTAATATACATACACACACATGTACACAATCAAAAAAACTTCCGGTTTGCGCAGATACGAGATGTTAAGATAAAACAAAATTGTAGCGTGCTACATTTCAGTATGGCACTGTAATTTTTAAGATCTGGCCCTTTATAGTATGCGCATATTAATAAACATTAATGGTACACTGAATTTCTTAAATTTTAAAGTAATTAATGTATTAAATTACAATTTTAAATGTGTTTTAAATTAAATTTTTAAAACCATAAACAACGTTTGATAGTTTATCTTACCTGGGATATTTGGGTTTCTTAATCAGCTTTATAAGTTAATTATTAAGAAATAAAACATTGAGTACGAAACGCCGTTCACAATACTGGAGCTTAAAGTAAATATAAAATCTTGTTTGTTTAACGCGTTCGCAGACTTAAGTGCAGATGAAAACAACCCAAATTGCTGAAATTTCTGTTTTCTGAGACATGAACCAATCGAGTATAATAAAACTACCGATTTGAATAAGAATCGATTGGGTGATTTAAAATAGTTTATAAATTTCATAAAAACAATTTTACTTTCAAACGATATAATACCGTCCTTTTTTTAATTTTCCGCAAAATTGTAATATGGTTTTAAGCAAAAGACTAGACAGCACCTTTAAAAACAATCTTTTGCTCGAAATCGTTTGCTTTTTTTAATTTAAATTACGTAATATTTCTCGCGGCATAGTTAGGGTTACATTAAAGTAAGGAAATTTCATTATTTTACAAAATATAAATGTCTATAAACTGTTACTGAAGCTTTCTTACATGGTTTGAGTCTGCGGTAAGGTATCGATAGTCATCAAATTCAAATAATTTTCGCGCTAAGTTACACTTATTTTGATTTGTTAATTTCTGCATAAGTAAAGCCGTATAATTTGGGCTAAAATTTTTTGACAATTTCGTATTCAAACCCAAGATCGGTAGAAAAACTATCGATACTTTAAAATGAACCAAGAAACTATCGATGTTGCGGATTGCAGGCAATCGATACCATCGAATAAAGGACCAGTTGTTTTTCCCATCTCAAATCCGCGCCGATCGCAAAAAAAAACAATGTTTGGAATGTTGTGAAATTTATTGTTTTGTTTTATCCTAGTCTATTTTGTGTTTTGTTTAATGGATGAAAAGCGGTACTTGAAGCGCAAGGAGAAGGCGCGCTAGCGACGGCAATCGGGATCAGGTGGCGATCAGCTGCAACCAGCTGGGCGACTTCTACAACCAGCAGGGGAAGTATAACGAGGCGGTGAGGGAATATGTCCAGGAGGCCCAGATATACGCCTCCATGGGCAAGGAGCTGGAGACGGCCAAGGCCAAGAGGATGGTGGGCGAGATGTACACCCTGCTGTGCGACTACGATGCCGCCAAGGATCACATCAACGACTATCTGAGTGAGTTAGTTGGTACTTTGCCTAAAAGAAGGAATATCTTTTATAACCTTTTAATCCATTCTTGCAGAGATTGCTAAGCGTTTGAAGAACCAGGTGGAGGAGCAGCGGGCTTATGCCACTTTGGGTCGCGTGCATCTTTTACATGGACAGAGTTTGGCTGATAGTTCCGCCTCTGGAGCCATGGAGCAACTAAAACTGGCGGAGAAGAGCTTCCTACGCAGCCTCCTGCTAATCAAAGAGTAGGTTTTCATCATAGAAACCTAAGAAATTTATAGTAAATGGTTAAAGGAGTCCCTAAGGATAGATTTTCTTAAAAGTCTGTCCATTTAAAACAATTTTTCCATACCCTTTTATTCATATCTTTCTTCTTTTACGTCCTATATTACCCAATTTAATTTAAAATTTAAATATGTTGAAAATGACCTTAAATAACATCCCTTCCTTACAGACTTTCAGGTCAAATTTCCAAGCTGGAGCAACTGGATATGCAAGCCCGCTGCTACCTGAACATCGGCGTGGTAAAGGAGCACATGGAGGCTTTCCAAGAGTCCATCGAGTACATCGACAAAGCCATCAAGATCAGCAAAACGCACGAGCTGTGGGACCTGACCCACTTGTGCTACATTTCGATGAGCTTGCTCTTCAACTGCAAAAAGAACGACGCAACATCGGCGCTTCGCTACTGCAATATGGCTCTGGAGGTGGCCAAGCGCTTGCCCAACAAGGTGAAGAAGATCTGCGAGACTTTGATCACCAAGGCGGAGATCCTGATCAAGGCGGGCGACTTTGCCAGCGCCAAGCACATACTGACCAAGGCCTACAAGAAGAACACGCCGGATGAGAACGATCGGGGGAGCATCGAGAAGCAGCTGAGGATCGTGGTGAAGATCTGCCAGACTTTGGATGAGCTGGTTCTCACCAGTTCCGTGGACTACGGCAAGTTGAAGAGCCTGTACGAGAAACTGGGCGACGGCTGCTGTCATCTGATGAACTACGAGAAAGCTCTGACTTACTATCAAAAGATGTTGGAGAACGCAGAACTGAATCAGGAGACTGGCAAGAGCCTGGTGCCCATCTATGTGAGTCTTTATCAGACCTATCGCGACAACAGTCAGTTTGACAAGGCCTTGGAGTACCTGTGGAAAGAGTTTGAGGTGAACCAGGATGTTCCCTCGGAGGCGTTTACCACCCTCTGCACGATTGCCGAGATATGCGAGCAGCAGTCGCATCCCTTTTGGACCGTCCACGATGTCTATCAAAAGGCTCTTCGGCAAGCGGAAAGGGCTGCTGGCTCCTCCGACAAGCTCGAGAAGATTGCAATGGTAAGATTACGGCGCCTGATGCTGAAGCATAATATGCAAGTGCTAGTGGAAAATCTGGAGACAGAAGCCACAGCCAAGGGCATTGATTTGGACCAAGAAGAAAGCCTGGGGAGACGACGATGAAGATGCCGGGGCAGCCCTGCAGCAAAATACTCCCGATTGGGACGACGACTTCGACCTGGCCACTCTCACCGACTCGGATGCCAGTGATCTGGACGAGAGCGAGAAGCTGCGTCCGCAGAGAACCACACGAGGCAGCAGATCGCTGGTAATCAAGAAGAACAACAAGGGCGAGACTCAGCTGCATCAGGCGTGTATTTCTGGCAATCTGGAGCTGGTCAGACGCCTCATTGACCAGGGCCACACGGTCAATGTGCGCGATCATGCGGGTTGGCTGCCATTGCATGAGGCCTCTAATCACGGCTTTCGGGAGATCGTTGAGCTGCTGCTGGACAAGGGAGCCGCATCTGCCATTAACGACAAAGGTGGCACCAGTTGCGATGGCATAACTCCCCTTTTTGACGCCTGCTCCAATGGCTTCCTGGATGTGGCCGAACTTCTGCTGGATCGTGGGAGCGGATGCCACGGTGCGAACGGACTACAATGAGACCTGTATCGCTGGACTGGACAAATGGCGCCAGGGAGCGCAGCTGGTGGATGGCGAGCAGGCGCAGTATGCCCAACTGCGAGAGCGACTCCTCCGCACGCTTTCCAAGGTGGGCATATGCAGCGACCGGAATGCCCGTCCTCTGACCAATGCCAATGTTAAACGAGTAAGCAGGGGCAGCTTATCGGAGGAAGAAGATGAGGAAGAGGCCCTGCAAGAGAGCAACAGAAGATCCCTCAGTCACAACCGTTCAGCCAGTGAGTACGGTAGCAAGAAACCCAGCAGCTCAACCCAGCCAAGTGCCAGCAAGGAATACAGGAGTGTTATGGCTCAGCTAAAGAGACCCAATCGCCTCAACGATGATCCTCCCAGCAGCAGCAATATTAGCAAGCAGAAACGCAACGCCTTCCTTAACGAAGATGAGGTGGATGCGGATAACTGGCTAATTGATGATGTGGGTCCGGAAAGAAAACGCAAGCGCATTAACTCGGGAGATTTCAGTAGACTTCCCTCTAAGGAGAACCTGCAAGACTCTGCCTTGTCTCTGCCGGCGAACTGGGAGGATGAATTGCTCCAGGCCACTCCCGAAATGGAATACTCGCAACGTCAGAAGCAGATGCGGAAGCTTACCCTGTCCCGCTCCTCTAGCATAAGTAGCAGCCACAGCAGCTCGGCTGCTCCTAGTCGAAAGAAGCATCAGGCCACGCTGATGGACAGCGGCTTCAGTCGCTTCCGAAGCGAAAGTCCACTGGGCAGTGAGTCCTCGCAGGATGGTGCCGCCTCGGTTATTAGCCTGCGCACTATTGAACCTGACTCCACCACGAGCACTATTCAGTTGCTCATCTCGCCGGCCAAATCGTCGCCCATTAAGGTGCAAACAACTCCTGTTTTGGCCACCACTGTGTCCTTTAAGGTCCAAGTGCAGGACGAACTTTTACTGGTACCCATTGAGCGCAAGAAACTGCAGGATATTAACATTCGCTGGTTGGCCGAGGAAGCCGGAAGGCGATATAATAAGTGAGTAAAATAAAACTTAATCGAAGTATAATCAAATCTAATTTTAATTCTTATTCTAGGTTGACTGGATTAACACCTCTCCTACGACTCAAGACAGCCGATGGCTTCGCTTATGAGGAAACAGATGCAGTTAGTGTAGCCCTCGAGCAAAATATGCTAATGGCCACCATTCTGGATTGGAAAATATCCCCTCTTTCGCAGCGATACGAAGAAATGTGCCATCAAGTACAGAAAAGTAAGAATAGATTTCAATTTTTTTATAGAATCCATTTGAAATGTTTCTAATTTTTAGCCGTGGACCACAAAGTGAAGCTTCTCCTAGAGCGTTCGCAGAACACTCAGATGCTAGAGCTCTCCGGCTTGTGGATGCGGGCTCAGCAAACAGAACCCATATTTAAAGCCCTTCTCCATCAAGCGCGTCTCACGGTCTTGGATCTTTCGCGCAACTTTATTGGCAACGAGGGATGCTCGCAGTTGGCCAAGTCACTGCCCACATTGCTCCAACTGAAGGCCCTGCGACTGCAATGCAATGCAATTGGCTCCCAGGGTTTGGAGGCTCTGCTGTGCGGTCAAGGAATGGATAAACTTGAGCTGTTGGAAGAGCTTAACCTAAGCCAGAATCCCCTGGGCAATGCCAGCCTTAGAATACTCAGTAGATTTTGTGCTAGTCCTGCTGGTCGAGCACTCACTTCCCTTCAAATTGCCCAGTGTGAGCTGACGGAACTGCAGGACTTTGACCTGGGCTTCAACCAGTTGACACGATTTGATATCAGCTTTAATCAACTCACCCAGCAGAGTGTGCGGCGTCTGACGGATCAGCTGAATAGTTGCCGCCTGGAGCAATTGAATCTCAGTTATGTGCGATGGCCTTTGGACGAGGCCAGTGCGTTTGCTTTGGGAGAGCGACTAGTTTCTCTTCTGGAGGGTGGAACATGCGAACGATTCATCCGAGTGGAGCTCGCAGGCTGTGGCTTGAACGATGCCCATCTGTACCAGATAAGTCAGCACCTGGGCAAAGCCAAGCAACTGCAGTGGTTGGATATCAGTGATAATGTCAGGCTTAGTGGAGCTGCCCTAGGATATCTCCTAGATGAACTACCTCCTCTGCACTGCCTGTTGGCCACCAATTGTACAAATTTTCTGGACGACACTCGTCTCCAGAAACTCGAGCAGCAAAAGCAGTTGCCCAGGCGCGTGGACCTAACCGTTGATGAGCAGGTGTTCTCCATGCCAGGAGCCTTGGAGACACTTCAGTCCATTTGGCAACTGCAGTTTGGTGACAAGGCCAAGATGCTGACCACATCGAGCAGGCGGAAAAGTGGCAGGCGGTACAAAGGACTCCTTAAGCTTCTGGCTGATGGCAACGATGCGGAATAGTGAAGTCTCATCGTGTGTAAACCATTTTCATTTTGTTGTATGTCCCATAGTATTTTTTTATTGTTTGACAATTATATAGCAAATCTGAGTACACCTCTTATCGTTTAACTAATAGCAGTACGCCGAATTGCTGAACCTAAGTAGGACAAACACTTAGCCCCCCAATGGGCTTATCTTATCAGTGGATGATAGCTGGCGAAATAATTTGCGATGGTCTAGACTCTAGACTTTTGGGGGTAAGTGAGGCTAGCTCTGACTGTTTACCCACTCCTTGAGGATTTTTTAAAACTAAGTAAATATTACACTTCCTAGAATAGACAAGTGATACACACTAGTTTATATTTCTTGTAATTATTACTTATTGTACTTTATTAATCGGCTTTGTGAATGTGTCTACAATGAGCATGACAGCGGTTGAGGTGAATGATGATGATGAGGAACCCTGGCTAGCTTATGCGTTGCCCTTGGCAGCCTCGTACATGTTTCGCGAGATGATGAGGCGCTGGATCTGGGAAGTTCCCTCGTAGATCTGGTAGATCTTGGCATCGCGCATCAGCTTCTCCACGGGATACTCGCTGTTGAAGCCGTTGCCTCCGAAGATCTGGACGGCATCGGAGGCGATCTTGTTGGCCACATCGGCGGCATGGCACTTGGCAATGGAGGCGTAGTAGCTGTTGCGACGTCCCTGGTCGATTTCCCAGGCGGACAGGCGCCACGCCAGGCGGGAAGTCTCCACACCGATGGCCATGTCAGCCAGCATGAACTGCACAGCCTGGTGGTGGGCAATCGGCACGCCGAAGGTCTTGCGCTCCAGCGCGTACTTCAGAGCCTCGTCCAGACAACGCTGGGCCAAGCCAACGGCTCCGGCGGCCACCGGAGGACGCGTCTTGTCGAAGGTGCCCATGGCGATCTTGAAGCCGGCTCCCTCGCCAATCAGCACGTTCTCCTTGGGCACACGCACATCCTCGAAGGTGATGCCACGCGTGTCGGAGGCGCGCTGGCCCATGTTCAGCTCCTTGCGACCGGGCGTCAGTCCCGGGGAGTCGCGCTCCACAATGAACCCGGTGAAGGCCTTGCTGGGCGGGCACTTGGGATCCGGATTGGTGCGGGCCAGCACGAAGTACCAGTTGGCCACACCGCCGTTGGTGATCCACATCTTCTGGCCGTTGATAATGTACTCATCGCCCTTCTTCTCGGCGCGCGTCTTGATGCCGGACACATCGGATCCTGCTCCGGGCTCGGTGACTCCGTAGGCGGCGACCAGCGGCTCCTCGAGCAGGCGGCCCAGGTACTTCTTCTTCTGCTCCTTGTTGCCAGACAGGATCACAGGAGTTTGCTGTGTTACAAAAGGGGTTTAAGTGAAATCTTTTAGTGAGTGCATATAATAGAGTTACTTACGCCCAGACCACTCGCCTCCAGGGCGGTCATAATACCGGTGCAGCCGTAGGCCAGCTCCTCGGCCGACAGGCAGGTGGTGAACACATCGAGATCCAGACCTCCAATGTCGGCGGGAATGTGGTTGTTCATCAGGCCCAGCTCCCAGGCCTTCTTGATGATGGGCCACGGGTACTCGCCGCTCTTGTCGTACTGGGCGGCCACTGGGATAATCTCCTCGCGGGTGAACTTGCGGGCCAGTTCCTGCAGCTGCAGCTGATCCTCGGTGAGTGCGAAGGAGGTGCCATTGGGGGAGACGTGCGACACGGCGGCGTAGGCGCGGCTTTGGGAGACCAACTGGCGCAGCGCAGGCGCAGCAAGCTGGATTTTTTGAAATTAAAATAAATTATCAATTAATAACGGAGTTAGGACCATGATTCAATAATTTTTTAATCAATTTCCCATTTAAAAAACCACTTTATTTTAAATGTCATGATATAAGGATGATTTTCTTACACAAATAGGAAACAAAAACAATTTTTAAAATTAATCAGAATATTTAAAAGTATTTAAACGTGAAATAAACATTTTAAGTTTTTTTGTACATTAGCTTAGGCGGATAAAACTAAAAAAAATTAGATCAAAATAATTGATTGTCTTAACTATCAAAGAAAAGTTGATCATGACCTAACCCTGATTATTTAACGACTAGCAACATTTAAATAGATTGACATGATTAAAAGATTGACATCATAACCTTATACACTTTTGTGTGAGATTCCGGTTCTCCGTGAGCCTAAACCCACCCTATATTATGATTTCGCAAACTAAGGGAAAATTAATAAACGTTATATCAGGCCTGCCAATAAAGTAAGCATTCCAATTTAAATCGAGTGCAAAAACAAGAAAGGAAGCTAGCTTCGGCCAGCCGAAGCTTATATACCCTTGCAGATCATTCCTATTAATTAACAAATCGCAAAAATGTTCAATTTTCTAATATTTCTCATTAATTTTCCGATTGTTCCTATGGCAGCTATATGATATAGTCGTCCGATTTTGATCAAATTAAAATTGAAATTCGGAAATATTTAAAAAGAGTCATATCCTAGAGTGGAAGATATTACAAAAAAAATCAAAGAAACTAGAATTTATTTCCTATTACTTTTCCATTAATTTTCCGATCGTTCCTATGGCAGCTATATGATATAGTAGTCCGATTTTTTAAATAATTAATTCGAAATTCAGAAATATTTAAAAATAACATCCCCAAAAGTAGAAGGTAATATTTCAAAAAACACCGAAGCTAGAATTTTTTTTTTTTTTTTTTTTTTTTTTTTTTTTTCCTATGGGGCTATAAGATATAGTTGTCCGATCCGGTCGGTTCCGACATATATACTACCTGCAATAGAAATACGACTTTTACGAAAGTTTCATCGCGATAGCTTCAAAACTGAGAGACTAGTTTGCGTAGAAACGGACGGACAGACGGACGGACAGACGGACGGACAGACGGACGGACAGACGGACATGGCTAGATCGACTCGTCTAGTGATGCTGATCAAGAATATATATACTTTATATGGTCGGAAACGTCTCCTTCACTGCGTTGCAAACTTCTGACTGAAATCATAATACCCTCTGCAAGGGTATAACAAGCCGCCATTAGACGCCGCTAATAATAATTTTTTCGAGGGGGGCAAAGTACAGATGATTGCTGGCAGATAGGCAACAACAAATGTGTTTACGAAACGGAACCCACTCGAATATATGTATAAACCTAAATCGCAGACGATCAACAGTTGCTGTCGTCACTAGTCTAAGAGAACTTTGAACCTGGCAAATAATACATATATCTCTGGGCTGTGTTTTTCACTTTCTCCGCGGTATAAATTAACTGATGTGCTTACCTTGTTGAGGAACGCCATTGGGCTATGGGTTTATTTTCGTATTTTCCTAAGTTTTAAGTAGGTCGCCTTAACTCGTCGGTGGCTGGCGACGAAATGATCCAAACGAGTTGCCGATGCGCCGGTATAGCGATGGTATATGTACATTTGTACCAGGCGATATGGCAGCGACGCTTGGACATTGGACTTTGTTGCGCTGGCAGTCGCAGTCGCAAAGCTACAGAATTGCGGTGACGAACGAACTACAAACACATGTACCTACATATATGCAGGAGTTTGAGATAAGGGAAGATGCCCTCGACATTCGTTTGCGCTATCGCTGGAGCTTTTCCAGAACATTCACTTTTATTAAAACTAATTTCAAATTTTTAATATACTCCATTATTTATTTTTTTAACAATATTTCATATCTATTTTAATAGACCTTAAGTTGTATACACATTTTTTAATTGTAGATAAACACACTTTCTCATTTATTTTTTTTATTTATTGGTTATTTTCAATATCCACCATTTAATTTTATCTCTATACAAAAATTTACCTCTATATGATAAGAGACACACCCCCTTTTTTAATAAATCAATGTACTCTTTTAAATACCCTACATAAAAAGCTCAGCAAAACTTACATACCTTTCTACGTAATCAAACTACGTAAGGTAAAAGCTTTTAGTTCATAACGTAATGCATTCAAATTTGGCCATAGGTATTAAATAAATTGGTCGGTATATTGGGCTTACAAATTTCAGTTAATAAAGGCCAAATAAGACTTAGAAAATACCCATTTAATTAATTTAAATTAAATATTTTGCGGACTAGCTTATATCTAAAACATTTAGAAACTGTTTTAAACCATTATTATTTTTCAAAATGTTTTAAAATTTTTGAAATAAATACTGGTATGCACTTTCACTTGATTTTATACTTAATATGCATAAAATGGAAATATTTTAAACAAAATCATGTTTTTTTTAAATTTTACCAATTGTGCTATTGAAATATATATTTTCAATATACATTTCATTGAAAAGTTTTTAAGATATAAAGTCACAGGATAAAACCCAGTCGAAAGCCTTGCCTCCCACCTGTTAGGCCCTTGAAAATTGGAGCATACTTTCGCTTGACACAAATAGATGAGCCCATGTTCCTCTAAAAATACACACAGAGTGCCGCCACCCGCCTCCGACCAAAAAATCTCCAGCGAAACGAATTGGGAGTCCGTGACACAGTTGACAGCCAGATATAAAAAACAGAGCACTACGCACTACGTGGCCAGGCACGAAGGCATCATTAAATCAGCATCCGCAGCCATCCAAAGTCGCAATCAGCCGCTGGAGCGGGGCATCTCTTATCAGCCAGGCGCATAAAACTGGGTCCGGTTAAAGCTCTTCCGACAGGACGACCACGAACACACAGCCGACCTGGAGCCGAAGTGGTTCGGGTGGTGCGACGGCGGGTGGCGAGTCCTGTGGCATCTAAGGCCCAACTGGGATAGCTGCTCCTAGTCAGTCATTTGACATTGCTCCTGCGAGAAGGTTGTCCGCGCTCCGAGCCCAAGTCCTCCGTCGTCGTCCACATCGCGTCCGCAAGTCAGCCATAGTGTATGTGTTTCTGGTGTCCCCCCTCCCACTTCTGGGATACATATAAAAGAGCCACCCCCTCGTAGAGCTGTGAAAAATTAAACAAGTGTTACCTAAGCCCAAACGTAGAAAACAAACAAAGAATAACTAAAAAAGGGAGCAGCAGTTGAAGGTTGCGGCAAGATGGCCCAGTTTGTGACCCACATCCAGCCCACGCTGATGGAGGCGTCCCAAGGTCATGTGCCCCACCACCACGGACATCAGGTGGGTGTGCAGCACTCGTCGCATCTGCCCCACAGCGGCCACAACATGCCCTCGCCGCCCACCCACAATCACCACCATGGCCACGGGCATGGTCACCACACCACCAGTGGTGGTGGTCATCATGGAGCAGCCACTGGAGGTGGCCATTCGCAGAGCAAGTCCCACCACCCCACCACCACGGGCCACACCTCGAAGGCCCAGCACCACAGCCCGCCCTCGAGGATCCACTCGCCGCCGGCGGAGCACCACCCGGATCACCCGGGTCACTACGAGTACTTTCAGCACCAGCACGAGCAGATCTTCCACCACGAGGGAGCCAACGGTGGTGCGGGCCACAAGCAGCAGCAGCACCACTCCACCACCCACCATCCCAACAAGCACGAGCATTGCCCCACTGGACACCAGAGTTCGGTGAGTTGTCCTGTCGAGGATTACATCATTGGATTGGGAAGTTGGGAATGGGTTAGGCCCTCTTAATACAGATAGTCACGTGATCGGGACTCCAAGGGGACGAAATTAGAGGTCACACCTAGTTGGCTAGAGGAATGAGTTGGTGTCGTTAAAGTTTGGAGAGACTTATTCATATTTTTACGACATCCCTTTTTCATTTACTAAGTTTAGAAGCATGCCACTATATAGTGTATACCCCTATTTCATCTTCTTAAAGTTCGTATGGGAAAAGTACATTTGGAGGTCATACTGAAATTGGTTGAAGTGATAGCCTCCTCTACCTAAGGGTTAAAAGTAAATAGTTGCTTTGATATAACATTCTATTTCGAGCATTGGGATTAGGGTTATAAAAAGTATTTACATTATTTTTTTTATTTACTTATTTATTTATTTTTTTTTATATCATTATATCTTATTATCCCATAACATCTTGTAAAAGCATATCAGATTGAGGTCACCTTTAAATCAATTGAGCAATGATAATATCAGCAATCTTCACCCATAAGTAACTTTCGCATCTTAGCTGACATGAATCATCCTTGAGCATAACAATGAATCACAACTTTTCGAGGCTTCATCTTGGTCACATCTTGGAGCGAAAGTAATGCCCATCTCTCCCCATCCCAGCGATGACGCAATGGTAATCCTTGGACCGACTGTGTCCAATGCCAAGTGAGTCATCAGCAGTGCGCTTCCGTTGTCCTTGCGGGGGCATTAACAACTCCTGCTGGCGCCTGGCGTCTCCGAGCCATCAAATCTTGGGGCAACTCCTATGACGAGAGCAGTCCTAAGGTCGCCAAACAGCCAAGAGCTCTTTTCGCAATCTTCTCGGTTTGTTTGGCCTTTATAAATAGCCGACTGGCTAAATGTTTTAGCTAAAACGTTCTCTTTGCGGCACTCTTTTTAGTGCGATTTGTGGTTGTGGTCTCTGTTCTCGGGTCTACTATGTATCCCATCTGTTCTGGGGCCTCTGGTTCTCTAGTTCGACGAGGCGCATTCGAAAATAATTCAGAAAACGACTCAAATCGCTCGGTGCGGCTGCCGCGTGAGACCCGCTAGACAATATTTAGATATATACGCGTATATCTTTCAATCTATTGGCCCCGTCAAGTTTGAACAACCGGGGGATACCTGGGAAAATGGAGACGCTGAAGAAACGCTTCCCATCGCTGCAGAGTTTGGGCGTAAGTTTCGCGACACCTTGGACTTGAATTTATGTAATGCGTTGGGAAGATCCCCAAAAGAGCAGCCCCCTAAGCATCTGTTTTGGGTAGCCCTATAAATACAAATACGAAATCCGACAGCCAAATTGGCCAGCGAATCGTGCGGTGAATTTTTTACATTTTCTCATAATTTTGTGCGTGTGCCCATTCAAGTTTTCGCCATACTCCGAATCCGTCTCCCGGGTGCAGTGAACTGAACACGGTGAAAATGTTTCCATTTTCTGCTCCCATTCCCTAGAAATTACCAACGATATGGCGGCGACTTTGCCGTGCTCAATTTGCGTTGCGTTTTTTGGGGTCGTCAGAATTATGGGCAATCAGCTCATCTAGCTGGTAATTTACTTAAGGCATGGGCCCAAAACATTCCTGCCACGGTGTTTTTTAAGGGGCTCCGGGGAGGGTCATTCAAATATCATATTGCTGGCGACAAGCCACCGCGACATCGATGCTAACACAAATATTAACTTAAACACGGGGAGGTTTAAAGAACTTTTGCACAGCATCGAATAATGGATACTCTTCTGGGTTTTAGCAGAAATTAATATAACGTGGAAAAGTGTGCCGTGCTTATATATAAATATAGATGTTTACAAAATAACTTTGTTTAGTGAAATTTGTTCTAAAATTTTAGAATTACGGCTATTATTGAAATCTGAAGAATGTCCTAAGAAATCCATTTAGAAATGCAAACAAATAGTGAGTTATAGTTTCATTTAAGCTTCTTGTGACCCAGCTTCTTGATAACCAAACTAAATTTGGAAACTCGTGCCACTTTTCCCCATTGGCTTATTGATATCCTAAGCAGCCCAAGGAAGGAAAATGTAATTAAAAATCTATCAAAGCGAAGGAAAGCAGAAGACCCCTTTGAATTATTAATTGAGCCATAGACAAACGACAATGGCCAAAGGCATTGAGAGAGTATAAACATTGCTGGAGTGCCTGGTAACATGCGAACAAGCCATTTGTTTTCGGGCCAACCCTGCAACCAAAACTCGGGCCAATACTCGATGGGCTTTTGGCTTTAAAGTGCGAACGGAAACCCTTTCAGCCGGTCAAAAGCAAAACAAACAAGCCAATGTTTGGCCAGGCGAAAAAGGGGAAGCTCTTTAATTAAATTCAAAATGTGTCTGGCACCTTGCTGTCGGGTTTGCCACCCCTGTTAGCCCATTTAATTACCTGCAACGTGATTCACGCACACTCATTCCTTTGTTTACTGCACAATTTGTCCCGGTCACGATGCAATTTGAAATGCAATTTTATGCAACCGCTCGAAGGGGTGGATTTGGCTGGCAGTAGGGGTAGGTTTCCTGTCCCTAAGAACCCAAACTAATGGCACTGCCTTTGCCTTACTTGGCACAACGTGACTGGGAATGCATACGCATCTGCATCCGATTGAGATTTTCGACCTTTGAATGTGGTGCCAAAGGGGGTGGGTTTGGGGGTGTGATTTTTTCGATTTTCGAATTCCGAACCCAGTTTCGAAATGGGAAGTAAACAACATCCAGTTGAGCGGTGCGTCTGCGCAAAAGTTAATCCCCAGCTGGAAGGAAACCTACCCATCATCCGTCAGCCGTCAACCAACTGTGGATTGTGTGCACTCGGCCCGGCCTTTATTTACTCTCGGTCAACAAAGTTCCGGGCCAGGAGATTATCTAGGGGTAGGACCACGACCAGTGGGCCATTCCATGTTCGCCGAATGAATTTTCGTGTGTACTTAGCTAATTAGACTAATGTGCTAACTGAAACTGTCGGTGGAATTTAATGCCTCGGATTTCATTGTACGAGCCATGAGGGGAAGATTAATGTGGCTGTTGTTAGGATAGTTGTAGTTACACCCTGGATGGGATGATTGCAACTCGGGTAAATATTTGTAATGCGAGTGGGGGTGGTCAGCAAAAAATAAGAGGGACTTCTGAGCGCAAAGAAAAGTCGTGAAATGGTAAAATTTCCCTCAAGGAACCCGAGATAATTACACATTGAATGAATTTATATTTTTAAATATTTTCTATAAAGGCTTTACATTTTTGTAATTTTTGCAGGCTTATAAGGGTTTTGTAAGGAAGGGAAAAAACTCCCCTAAAAAATGAAATTGATTTTCCGAAGGGATCATATTTTTATGCTTCAGTTACTCTGCAAAAAAAGACATTAATCTTGGTTAGTCTCGAATTACTTTAAAACAATGCAATTAAGTTGAAAATCTATCCTTATTACCATTAAATATGAAAAATGGTATCTTGAATTTAAAACATTTCATTTAAGTTGACAATAGACCCCCGAAAGGTCTCGTTTTCCCTTAAAAGCACGTGCAGGCGTCTATAAAAACGTCAACAATAACAAAGGGCACGTGCCGCATGGAGGGAGAGCCTTTGGTTCGGGGCCCTGCCTCTTTTTCTTGGCTTCCGCTGGCACTTCCATTCGAAGTCCCGGTTCCTGAGGGCGAACTACCCTCGCCACTTTGGGGGTGGTCGTTCCAATTGGAACGGGCGAGTGCGCAGGTCCTTCGATGTCCTGCCAGTTGGAGTTTCAACCACTCGGGCCAGGACTAGTCGCATCCAGTCTGGAGTTGAACATCGAAGAAAACGGCAGCAAAAACGAAAACTGCTCCTCGAAAACCGTGAATTCAGAAGGGACTGTGTGAGAGCAGCCAGGAATCCAATCAGACACACACATACACCGAAAGACATTCACACCCATACACTGACACTGACACGCACACAACCGAATCGGTCGCCTGTACGAACACACCCTCTCGCACACATCCACATGCACTCGTGTACATATAGCTTACATAAAGTCTAAGGAAAAATCGATAGGAGTGCATTAAAAATTCAGCGAAAAAAAACGGGAAAAGGTCTCGAGCAAAAATCTGCGAGTAGTGTGAATTTTCCGCTTGAGCTGACGGCGAAGAAAAGTCCCAGGCCCCGTGAAAAAATATGACTAATCTGCAGTGACGACATACGCCGCGCTTACACAATTTCTCTACACCAATTAATCGCAGAATTAAACTCGAAACGGCCATTTTCCCATTGGCAATCGCTGAAAAATGGTCACCGAAAATGGAGCTCAGGTAAAACGAAATTTTCATCTTGGTTTCAGTTGGTTTTCACAGGGTGGGGTGTACTTTTCGGGGCCACTGTGGAGATTCTGGGGGGCAGCCATGTTGGCGTCCATTTTGCGGATTATCGATTTTTCGTTGTCTGGCTGGAAAAGTGCAACGAAATTGAGGAAAAATATGGTGAAATGGGTTTTCGCAGGGAGTTGCATGAGATAAACCCACACTTTTCATGTCAAACTTTGGGGTGGCAACCCTTTTTTTCGTTGGCAACAAACTTTATTGATTTTTCACTCCACTAAAGGAACCCATTTAATTTATGGGTGTTGCAGGCGATTCCGATTTAAGCCCAAACAATGGTCTAAAAATAATTGCTGTACTAACCAACGGCAACTGGAGCCAGGTGGCGACTCCCAGTGGCACCGCAGCAACCACCTACACCACTGTCCTTTTTTCAATAGGAACTGGGTGTGGTGCGTGCGTGTATTGTTGGCAGCAGTGTAAGGTAATCGAGATTTAGGTTAAACCTAATGATGACATGCGACACTGGTGCCAAGATGGGGAAAAATCCATAATACATTACTCACTTTTTCATCCCAGTGCATTAAGAGATTGTTTGTTGGTCCTGCTGGGGACAGCCACTCGGACTTCGATTGGGCCGTTAAGCTTGTGGCCAAGTACCAACACACCAACTTGGCCACACAAGTTCAAAGCAAATCCACTTCAAGGCAAAACTCCTTTAGTCGAGCACCCAATTTGCCCCTCGGTGGAGCCGCTCGTTAGTTATACAATGACGAAAAAGGGGAGGGGGAGCGAGGCCGAGCCCAAGAACCTTTGAACTTTGGGAACACGTCTGGGAATCACCTCGCCTTACAGGCAGCGAAAAAAGTCTCTCGTTTGTCAGAAAGAAATTATAAGTACGTCAAGTTAGGAGATAAAATACTATTAAAAGAAGGCGATAAAATACTACTAAAATAACACTTAAAAGTCTTAAATACCTATTTAATAAGTTTAATTCAATTGAGTAAATTGTTATATTTTTAACTTCAAAATTAATTACCTGGAATAATGTCAAATGATCTAATTTATAATACGGGTAATTAATTTATCATTACTTAATTTTTTGTTTTGTTTATAGTAATCAATAATTACAACTATATATAGAAACATTAAAATTAACTACACACTCAATATATTTATCTTATTAATTTTTTGTTTTGTTTATTAGTAATAAATAATAACTAATCTATAGCCATAGGTTTTAAAATTAACTAACACTTAATGTATAATTGAGACAAAACATTTACATTTCTATCAAATTTAATTAAAAATCTAATAAAAAGTAAAAATATTTATCTCAAGGCAAAAATAGATTTCTGGTGATATATTTTCCCTGTGCAGCCAAGCAAACAGAACAGAGTTCAGGAAGTAGACGGGGCAAACAAGTTTCTTTTCAATTCGTATGTATGCCCAGGGCATTTGAAATGAGTTTTCCTTTTTGGCTGCTTTTGTATATCCTTCACACACTTCCCTGTTTGCCAAAGGGCGGTGGGTGGATGGGTAGCTGAATGGGTGGGCGGTGCATTGGATTGGGCGGATATGAAGGGGTCTTAACGCTCAGGAAGCGGGTCTACCGGGTGTCTGAGCTGCGGTCACTCTCCAGCGCTTTCTTCGCTCACTTCCAGTGCGAAAATTTCCGATATGCCGACTTCCAGTTGCAGTTTGAAAACGCGACATGACGTCATTTTCGATATCGAAAATCCTGGAGAGAACTGGGGGAGAAAAACATAAACAAAACCACCATCGACAGCTGAGCGTTGGTGGGTGGTTGGTTGGTTTTTCGCTTCGGTGGGTGGGCGTTGGCCATTAGACCGAATTACCCGTACACCTGCGCCAAATGCCGGAAAAGCTACGGTGACCCCTCGCCTTGACCGACGCCTCGTGGATTGAACTTGAGGCAACGAGCAGGTGCATAATAACCACATATAACAATTGCACCACCTGACGGGACACCAAACTTGGAGTTGCGCAACCTAGCAACGTTCTATATAACTCCAAGTCCCCTGTTTTTTTATTGCCACCCACACAGCAGGTGATGAATACGCAACTGACACGCAACTAGCTGAAAATTAGATGTACAGTTTCCCGGGCCAACGGAAAACTTGGCCAAGATATATAGCATTGCCGTTGATAAGCAGTCAGGCAATTACTTCTGGTCGACCTTAGCCTTATTTGATAGTTGATAATAAACGCCATTTTCTAACTAAAGCCAATTATTATTCTTCCTTTTTGAAGTTTGCATACTATTTATAGGGTCATTACCATTAATCCTATAGACTAAGTAGAAGAATTTAGAAAGAATGAAGTTAAATTCATTTGAAATATCGTGTTTTTATAAAACTTTGTTGGCTAAGTTATATTGCATTGCCGTTGATTAGCAGTCAGGCAATTACTTATGGTTGACCCTTGCCTTATTTGATAATTGTGCAAAAATAAACGCAATTTTCTAACTACCTAAGCCAATTATTATTCTTCCTAGAAGTTTGCAGGCTTTTTATAGGGTTATTATCATTAATCTTATAGATCTTATAAGACAAATCTCAAACAAATTCATTTGAAATTTTGTGTTTTTCTAAAACTATGTTCATTAAATATCAACTATAAGAAATTTCCTTATTACTAGGCCTCGGATTTTGCATATTTGCATACTTTTAGGCGTAGGAGAAAGACAGCCCTAATTCCGAAAAAATCATAAGTTAGTTTCAAGAAAGAATGATACTTAAAAATAATGTCATTTGAAATTTCGTGTTTTTTTTAAAACTATGTTGCTTAAATATGCATAGTTATTAGGAAAGTTATTAAGTTATTACCTACAATTTTTTAAATATATTTTTCTAACTAAAAATCCGTTTCTCTATTTTTCAGGGCGATGGAAACACTTCCTTCCTGCGTGCCGCTCGCGCCGGAAATCTGGAGCGAGTGCTCGAGCATTTGAAGAACAACATTGACATAAACACCAGCAATGCGGTGAGGTTTTATCAGAAATCGATACCATAAAACAGTTCCTTTATAACCCAATAAATTCCCCCCTCAGAACGGCTTAAATGCCCTGCACCTGGCCTCCAAGGATGGCCACATCCACGTCGTCTCGGAACTCCTTCGTCGCGGTGCGATTGTGGACAGTGCCACCAAGAAGGGCAACACCGCCCTCCACATCGCCTCGTTGGCCGGGCAGGAGGAGGTGGTGAAGCTGCTGCTGGAGCACAATGCTTCCGTGAATGTGCAATCCCAGAATGGGTTCACGCCACTCTACATGGCCGCCCAGGAGAACCACGATGCGGTGGTGCGTCTCCTGCTGTCCAACGGGGCCAACCAGAGCCTGGCCACCGAGGATGGCTTCACCCCGCTGGCGGTGGCCATGCAGCAGGGTCACGACAAGGTGGTCGCCGTGCTCCTCGAGAGCGACACCCGGGGAAAGGTCAGGCTTCCGGCGCTGCACATTGCGGCCAAGAAGGACGACGTCAAGGCAGCCACCCTGCTTTTGGATGTGAGTGTTTAGGAATAAATATATAATCTAGTTCTTGAATACAAATTTCCTCTCCAGAATGACCACAATCCGGATGTGACCTCCAAGTCGGGCTTCACTCCCCTGCACATCGCCTCGCATTATGGCAACCAGAACATCGCCAACTTGCTCATCCAGAAGGGCGCCGACGTCAACTACTCGGCCAAGCACAACATCAGTCCGCTGCACGTGGCCGCCAAGTGGGGCAAGACCAACATGGTGTCGTTGCTCCTGGAGAAGGGCGGCAACATCGAGGCCAAGACACGGGATGGACTCACCCCGCTCCATTGTGCCGCCCGCTCGGGACACGAGCAAGTGGTGGACATGCTGCTCGAACGGGGAGCTCCCATCTCGGCCAAGACCAAAAATGGCCTGGCACCGCTCCATATGGCCGCCCAGGGTGAGCATGTGGATGCCGCCCGCATCCTCTTGTACCATCGGGCGCCCGTCGACGAGGTGACCGTCGATTATCTGACCGCTCTCCATGTGGCCGCCCACTGTGGTCATGTGCGGGTGGCCAAGCTCCTCCTCGATCGGAATGCGGATGCCAATGCTCGGGCTCTGAACGGATTCACCCCGCTGCACATTGCCTGCAAGAAGAACCGCTTAAAGGTGGTGGAGCTGCTCCTGCGCCATGGGGCGAGCATCAGTGCCACCACGGAGAGCGGACTCACGCCGCTCCACGTGGCCGCCTTCATGGGCTGCATGAACATCGTCATCTATCTGCTGCAGCACGATGCCAGCCCCGATGTGCCCACTGTGCGCGGCGAGACGCCACTCCACTTGGCCGCCAGGGCTAACCAGGTGAGTCTAACGGTTGGGAGTTGGGAAATAAATATAAGATAAATAAATAAATATATTCAAAATGGTCATAAAATATTAGAGAATTTAGAATTTTTATAGGAATTTATTTACTAAAATTATATACATTTTGGATCTGTAAATGCCTTATCCACCAAAAAAAAATCTAATTAATTTTTAAATTTTAAAAATACTCTACTACACAGAGAGAATTAACCATGATTGATTTGTCTCAAGCTGAGAATTTTTGTACTCAAAATATAACCAAACACATAAATAATCACTTTGAGTGCAAAATACTCACTTTCAGTGAAAATTTTTGTAATTTTTTCTCCAAACAGGGGAACAAATTAGTGGAAAACAACAAGGAGAAAATAGGTTCCAATTTTAATTAGTCTGAGGCTTATTTTTCAGAATTTTTACTCCAAATCTGTACAACCTCAGAATAAGTATACAAATACTATAATTGAGAATTTCATTTTACGTGATTAATTTTCTCTGTGTAGTTTAATGGACATAGTCATTAAGACAGAACTTTTTCATTATACTTTAATAACTACATTATTTACTATTTTTTCCAAGCATATACATTTTGTTGTTAAATGTATGTTAACGACTTTTGAAATGTGACTTTATTAACTTAATAATTCCAAGGATGGGTTGTATATACCTAAAAGTTAAGGTAGTTACTTAACACTCTTTGCTATTCCACCTGACCCATTCCAGACCGACATCATTCGCATCCTGCTGCGCAATGGCGCCCAGGTGGACGCCCGTGCCCGGGAGCAGCAGACCCCGCTGCACATCGCCTCGAGGCTGGGCAACGTGGACATCGTGATGCTCCTCCTCCAACATGGCGCCCAGGTGGACGCCACCACCAAGGACATGTACACGGCCCTGCACATCGCCGCCAAGGAGGGCCAGGACGAGGTAAAAGATCTGATTGCGAAAAAGATCACCGACCACATCGACACCGTTTACCTGATGCAGCTATTTTGGATACGCCATCAGGAGTTTTTCATTTGATTTTAAGTTTTTTTGGCCAGCCCCTTGGTTTTTGTACTTGTATTATGAGTATTATGAGTTGTTTCTTTGACTCTTGTGTTGTTGTCTCTTTTTGGCGTTTTGTTTTCGAATAAATGTTGCAACTCTTTTTTTATTTAGTATTTTGGTATTATGATTTTTTGCGAGCAATTTTGGTAATTTGATTTTTGTGAGATTACCAGGTAGTCTTATTCATGTGATTCTTCTTAACTAAATTTCTTTAGGTGGCCGCTGTGCTGATCGAGAACGGCGCCGCCTTGGATTCGGCCACCAAGAAGGGATTCACGCCGCTTCACTTGACGGCCAAGTACGGCCACATCAAGGTGGCCCAGTTGTTGCTCCAAAAGGAGGCGGATGTGGATGCGCAGGGCAAGAACGGAGTGACTCCGTTGCATGTGGCATGCCACTACAACAACCAGCAGGTGGCCCTCTTGCTGCTGGAGAAGGGAGCCAGTCCGCATGCCACGGCCAAGAACGGACACACCCCTCTGCATATTGCGGCCAGGAAGAACCAGATGGACATCGCCACCACCCTGCTGGAGTATGGCGCCCTGGCCAATGCCGAGAGCAAGGCCGGATTCACCCCGCTGCACCTGAGCAGCCAGGAGGGTCATGCCGAGATCTCCAATCTGCTGATCGAGCACAAGGCCGCCGTCAATCATCCGGCCAAGAATGGGCTAACACCCATGCACCTGTGTGCCCAGGAGGACAACGTAAACGTGGCCGAGATTCTGGAAAAGAACGGAGCCAACATCGACATGGCCACCAAGGCGGGATACACCCCACTGCATGTCGCCTCTCACTTTGGACAGGCCAACATGGTGCGGTTCCTGCTGCAGAACGGCGCCAATGTGGATGCGGCCACCTCGATTGGCTACACTCCGCTCCATCAGACGGCCCAGCAGGGTCATTGCCATATTGTCAACCTCCTGCTGGAGCACAAGGCCAATGCCAATGCCCAGACGGTCAACGGGCAGACCCCGCTGCACATTGCCCGCAAATTGGGCTACATAAGTGTGCTCGACTCGCTGAAGACCATCACCAAGGAGGACGAGGCGGCCGCTGCTCCGGCCCAAACTGAGGAGAAGTACCGCGTGGTGGCCCCCGAGGCCATGCACGAGTCCTTCATGTCCGACTCCGAGGAAGAGGGCGGTATGTATAGTATTAAAATCCCCTTAAACCAGTGGTGGCCAGCCATTTCTCTGCCGCTGCGCTGCAAGCAGAAGAAAGTCTGTGCTGCTTCTGCTGGCCACCACTGCCTTAAACCCTAACCATAAGCCACAAGATCACTGCCCAGCTAGTCAGCCAGCACACAGACACCGAGCACAACCCATAGTTTACATACCTAGTCTACGATAGTCCTAAGTGAATCCCCGCTCTTTCATGTGTGTGCCAGGCGACACTAACTGGCAACTGGACGCTGGCTACGAGTACGGCATTGGCATTGGCCCGGTCTATCTGCCCTACTACCAGGGCGACAGGCTCTGTGTCTCCAGTAAGTGCCCAGGGCCACTTGGAAACCCCTATCCGTATCCGTATACTCGTACTCGTATTTCTATCCTAAGTGCTGGCCGTTATAAAGTGCACTAATTGGCTGTGATTGGATTAGACTGGCTTTAGAAATTCAACACCAAAGTTTGGCGTACTCAAGGCACTTTATATGGGGCTGAAATGTATAAATGTAAACTATTTCTTGACGTTGTAATTGGGCCAAGGAGTAAAAACTCACTACTTGCCTTTCTATATTCTCTTTTAAATTAATATCTAAAATTATATGACCAAATAATAGGAATTAGAAAGTATCAGGGACGGAAAATCATTAACTCATTTGATAAATTGATTGGCATTTAAAAAATATTCTCTATTCAACAAGACTTATGATTAAAATTCAATAAAATTAAATATAAGGTTTGACTTCACCGACGAAAATAGGATTAAAGAGCTCATATAAATCGAAAATTTAAAGAATTTTAACTTGATAGTACCGTTACTCAACAAACCCAGAACCTTTTGACTTGGCTGTCAAATTCAGGCCGAAGAAAACTATAACTGAATTTGCTTGAAACCGCGGCATGAAAAAATGTACTCCTCTGTGTCTGTATCTATACCACCACTGTTATCGTATCCATGTAATATGCTCCTATTTAATGGTCATGCTAGCTTTATATCACCCTTATATATATATATATACTTATTATAACGATTATAAACTGAAGCATGTGAATCTAACGAAATTTTGTAACTAAAATCAAACTCATTTGCATTCTTCTACTTTCAATGCACTGCGCTCTCATCTGCAAACCAACAATTACCAACCAATCAACAACAACTCCAACACTCTAACAACAACCAAAAACACCAAACAACAATAATAATATCAACAACAACAACTACAACGCTATATGGCCAATTGGACTGTCTTGTGCTTAAACAAAATGCAAATGCTGCGGAATGCCCTCGAAACGCATCGAAATCGAATCAAAACTCTAGGCGAAGACAATATGCTATCAGATCAACCATACCGCTATTTGACCGTTGATGAAATGAAATCCCTAGGCGACGACTCGCTCCCGATCGATGTGACCCGTGACGAGCGAATGGACTCCAACCGGATGACCCAGAGCACCGAGTATGCCTCTGGTGTTCCGCCGACCATCGGTGAGGAGGTGATCAGTCCCCACAAGACCCAGGTCTACGGCAGTTCGCCCAAGGCCACGGTGGACGGGGTGTACATTGCCAATGGATCTGGTCACGATGAGCCGCCGCATGTGGGGTGAGTTTACATACATTGGTTCCTTTTTTTCATGTAACGATTTTATATTTAAGTGTTTCGTTGATTTAAAGAATATTTGACATAGAAAACCAAATATACATACAATATACATCCAATTGACTTTCTAAAGACATTCTTAATAAAGTAAAGCACCTACTTTTATAATGAGACCATGAAGACGAGAAATATAAGTTGGTTTAAATTTTAATTTATTTTAATTTAAATTTTGTTTTTTTTTATTTCCTTTCTTAAAATTAAACTAACAAACTATTTTCCGTTTCTCTTGCAGCCGCAAACTGAGCTGGAAGAGCTTCCTGGTGTCCTTCCTGGTGGATGCCCGTGGAGGAGCCATGCGGGGCTGCCGGCACAGTGGCGTCCGCATGATCATCCCCTCGCGGTCCACCTGTCAGCCGACCAGGGTCACCTGTCGCTATGTGAAGCCGCAGCGCACCATGCATCCGCCCCAGCTGATGGAGGGCGAGGCCCTGGCCAGTCGTGTCCTGGAACTGGGTCCCTGCTCCACCAAGTTCATTGGGCCGGTGATCATGGAGGTGCCGCACTTTGCCTCGCTGCGCGGCAAGGAGCGCGAGATCATAATCCTGCGCTCGGACAATGGCGAGACTTGGCGGGAGCACACCATCGATAACTCCGAGGAGATCATACACGACGTTCTGCAGCAGTGCTTCGAGCCAGAGGGTGAGTGGGAATGTGATTTTAGTAGTAGTCTATATCTATAACTGCCACTCCTCGCCGCCACAGAGATTGCCCAACTGGAGGAGCAGGCTGGCAACCATGTCTGCCGGTTCGTCACCTACGACTTCCCCCAGTACTTTGCCGTCGTGTCGCGCATTCGCCAGGAGGTCCATGCCATTGGTCCCGAGGGCGGCATGGTGTCCAGCACCGTGGTGCCACAGGTGCAGGCCGTCTTCCCACAGGGAGCCCTCACCAAGAAGATCAAAGTTGGCTTACAGGTAAACCTCTTTAAACCGCGCAAGGGCGTTGCGCCTGAGAAATTGCGCAAGATAAGCGTAAATCATGTGCCCAAGAAGAAGCGCTTCTCGCTCATCTGGTAAACCAACCAGGGCAGTTATTATATCTATATCTTAAAGTAAAAGAAAACCAGAAATGCGCTATCGGTCGGCAGTATACTCTCCAGCATTTAATCTACAACTTCCCCGAATAATATCAAAAAAGAATGCAAAGATGTTTTCCAAAATGAAAATGAGCATTTATAACCAGTACTCCTATAACCAGTAACTAATAACCATCTATGTTAACCCGCCCCAAATCCTGTGTAGTGAAATATGGTAGATCCAAGTCTCCGAAGTTCGTTTACAGCAGTCCGAGTGGGGTAACTAAGCCAAACTAAAGCCGTTGTAAGCGATCTACGGAGCTGACTTTTCCAAATGTTATTACTCGTATGAAATATGTGCACTTTGTTTGATTATATTGAGACTCACTTAATAACTTTACGGCACTTTGCTTATGGAGCCATTGTGGAATCGGTATCCCCATGCTAACCTAATCACGAATGCTATGCAAGCAGTGACATACAATAATACAATTATACGAACCGAATAAATTTGATCATGGATCAAGCCAAGTCTGTCAGCAAGCTTATAAACAGCAAGAGCAAAACAATTTGTCCAACTTGATAAGACATATGAAATACTTATATCGAATATTATGATACACTTACCTATATGCTAACTACTCTTAACTATTCATACATTATTTATGATTATTATCTACTTATGCATAAGATTATACTTACAAGTTCTCTGAAATGCAGTACTACCCAATAAATTTAGTTCGACAAAAACTTTATGCCAATGAAACTGTTTTAATTACTTTTCATTTGATTACTTTCATTCAATTGCTTTTTCAAAAAAGAAAAAAGAAAAGAGATGAGGTGAAAATACTTTGTGAGTTACAATTGGGTCCGGTTTGGAGTGCCTAACGAAGTTGTAACATTTTAGCCATGCCGTAAGCAAAAAACGATTTTATAATGGCCCCACTCATGAGTTCAAATTTTCGCACGTTTTATTTGCAATTAACTGATATATTTGTAAATTTCTACATTTTTAATATTTTCGTTTCTTCTATTGATTTCTGTACATTCTGTATAAAGTCTTGCGTTACCTTTCTAGTTCTTCGGTTGTAGACAGAGTTTTTTTGATAACTAAATTTATTGGGACATAAATGGGCTCGAACATTGTTATCGTTTGTAGTTAACTTATGCTGTAATTTAACTGAAACATGCAATTGCTCAATACAACAAACATTAAAACGATATAACATAAACATCCAACCTATAAGCATTGTACAAAACCAGAAAAACTGCAAAACGAAGTGTAATCGAATCGATGATGTTCACCATTTAGCCCAAAAGACTCATTTCACTTGATTTTGATTTATTTGTTTCCTTATGACAGACAAGAAGCGCATATTTCGTATATAAACTTTTGTTTGTAAATTTTTGTTAAGTTTCTTTTTTTTCATCTCATGATTGCGTGTACTGTGAATAAGCGTGGCCGGTAAATCGATTTTTGTCTATAGTGCCAATCGAAATCCGTTACACTCGTTCTAGGCCCAACCGGTCGATCCCGATCTCACCGCCAAGCTCTTGGGTCGCGGCGTTGCCGTATCGCCGATTGTTACGGTCGAGCCGCGACGCCGCAAATTCCACAAGGCCATCACCCTCAGCATGCCAGCCCCCAAGGCTCACAGCCAGGGGATGATCAATCAGTACTCGGGCAACACGCCCACCCTGCGGCTGCTATGCTCCATAACAGGTAAGTCCCAGCCGATCCATTACCGATCTAAGATCTTTTGTGTTGTTTGTACGATGTGATCCAAGCAGTTATTATTACCAATTACCAATTACCATTATGACTATTACGAAGTATATCCACTTACATTTCCATTACGTTAGTTGATGTTTTTTGAGTATTACTGATCCTCCTCGATACCCCCGAATTTCCACATCCTCTCTCTCTCTCTCTCTCTATCTCTATAAGAATCTGTCTCAGGCCTTCATTTACTTCATTCCTGTTTATGATTTCTTGAGTGTAACTATATATGCTTTCGTTGAGTTGAGTTTGTACGTGCTTCCGTTGTTCGATTTGGTTGTCTATAACATTTAGAATACAAGTATCTCATGTGCTAAAACGTAGTACTATATATATACCATACATGCCATATATACTATATCCAAACCTGTACAGTGGAAATTGCCCAAATCTAAAGCAAAAACTCTGGGGAGCACTCCCCAATTTGAATTGAAATTGAAATTGTAATGATATTGAGATTGAATTGAGAAACATTCGTTTGTAGGTCCCATTCTATCCGAACTGAAACATAATGCTTGTGTCTGTGTAGTAGAAGCGTAAACATAAGTTATTCGAACGGGTTCTTCCGGCATTAGCCCGCATCGTATCGTATCGTATCCTATCGTAATTTCCTTGGAATCTAGACAGTTGTAGAGCATTTGCCACCATCACCTCCGATACGTTCATGCATCAACGACACCCACACACTACACAGAAACAGAAAAAAAAGATAAAGATACAGCTACAGATACAGAAACATATAAAACTACTCCACACCTATATCTCGTACTTCAGCTCGATCCCAACCCAGATCAGTGTCATGTTCAGTGTGTCTCATCATTGTGCCAAACGGTGTTCGTTCCGTTACCCTTTGTTCGATTTGCGTTCCTTACCGCTTTAGTTTGTTCTGATGATTTTCGATGATTTCGATTTGTATTTCGATTTCGATTTCGTGTTGAGCAAAAAAACCCAAACAAACAAACTTCAATTCAATTCTTGATTGAAAACCTATTTAATTGTTCTATAATTTCGTACTAATGCGTCATTGCATACGTGTGCACGCATTCCGTTCTGTTTTCTCAATCCATTGAAGGTGTGTTTCGGAAAAGGTCTCTAAAAGGTAACTAAAACTGACTCAAACGTCACAAATACTAAAATAAATAATACAAAAATTCAGAAATTCACAAACATGTATGAAGTTTCAAATTGAAACTGTTTACAAAATAAAATCGTTATTTGTTCATATTTAGTTGTTTCGTTCTATGCCAAACAAAACAAAATAAAAAATAAGAATAACAATATTATTGTGTTGAAAAATGAGGCATACAACCAAATCCCAGAAGAAAATTTGACAAAAAAAATTTTGAAAATTCTGCATATTTTACTTATGATAAATTCTCTTGTTAAGAAACTATTGCAAATATTTCAAACAATTTATTTTTCAACTTCTATGCCTTAACTTCTTGGTTTTTACTAAGTTTCGTTGAGTTGTTCCTTTTTAAGTTGCCCCTTTAATTTCCTGAGTTTCGTTGAATTCTCTGCTTGAATTCGGGTTGCGCTGCGTCTTTGGGTTCACTACACCAGATGCTCAGGGTTAACTTCTGTTTGGTGGGGCCTGCTCAAGACCCCACTCGATTGGCAATGTTCTCTAAGCCAAGATAACGCTTCCAGCTCAAAGCAGCTTAGTTTTTGAAGTAAGCTAACTTTCCAATTTACTTTTACGAACCTTAAGCTTGTCATGCAAACGTCTTTGCCGCCTTCTCTTTCTCTCTGTCTAACCTCTCTCCCTCTTACATACAATAATATGAAATACCTAAGCGACTTTCTGACTGCACGCGGTTTAATGCCAAATATATAACTAAACTGCACAATTTCATTAAAGAGTTTGTAGGTTTTGTAAGCTAAACTAACCGCCAACTAAAGTTGCTCTTTGGGCCATTGAAACCGTAATTGAAGCGAGGCCTCCAGATTGTGCCAGATTACTTTGATTTCCTCAGTTGTTAAGTTTTTCAGTTACCGATTCGAATCTTATTCTAATTCCTTACTTACGTATCGTACTTGTTATGGCTCTCAGCTTTACATTTAATTTTTATTAACATTTTCGGTTGGAATGCCGTGCACCTGATTGTAGTTTGTTTATCTGTTGTTTATTGAGCGTTAAACCTTTGCGTTGATTGCTATTATTTCGTGTAAAACAAAGCAGAATTATTGTCTATATCGATTTTTTTTTCCAAAAAGTAAACCAAATATGAATGATCAATTTCAAATTTCGACTGTTTGTGGCACCAAAGAGAACTTTTCTGAAACCGAATAAATGTCAACTATTGAGGAAGAAACTGAAGTCAAGCGAATGCTGTGGCAAGCTCAATAATATCAATTTCAAACGGTGTTTTGATAATGAACTAAACATATATAAACATAAAAAAATATATCAACAAGTTGACGATTCCTTACATTCCTTTTAAATTCTGTTTAGGTTTGTATGATTTGTTTCTTGATTTCTTGGTTCTGTTTCGTTGGGACTTCAGTTGATTTGAACACATTTACAACAAGAAACACGTGACACGCTCACTTATTTTTCCATTCAAGATAAACCAAATAAACCAAATTTGTTTTTCCAAAATATTAAGCATGTTGTTTCGAAACGGCTTCAAAGTAAGCGCAACAAGTACCCTAGTACTCGTACCTCTGTAAATGCTACAGCCCTATCAAATTAACCAAATATATGCTTGAAATCAAAGTGCCTCATCAATTCACACACTCCACAATACACTCCTCTCTCGACATTCAACATCATCACATTCATGTCATGCCATAGATAACAACAAGATACTAAATATTTCTAATACTTATCGCTAAATACGATTTTAATACTATACCATAAACTGTATACAATAATACTTTTCGTTACTACTCCTAATCCATCTAATTGCTTTGTAATTAACACACACAATCGTAATTCTCTCTAAACAAGTTTTTGTGTTGAGTTTATGGTTTCGTTTGTGAAATTAGTTCAACAATTTTGGAATTCAATTCAATATTTATCTGCTAATGAGACAACAGTAGAGATTTTCAAGAGTTTTTACATACATATATGTAGTCTATGCGTAAACCCCTTGTCCAGGACGTGAGACCCGCCACTGAACGTTTCTGTTTTCCGTCTTCCATCTAACTAATCCCTCGCTAGGCGGACCATCCCGCGCTCAATGGGAGGACGTCACCGGTTCCACGCCCCTGACATTTGTCAACGACTGTGTCTCCTTTACGACCACGGTATCAGCTCGTTTCTGGCTTATGGATTGCCGCAATATCTCGGATGCCACCAAAATGGCCACCGAACTGTACAAGTAAGTGGTTTCTCATCAAATCTCGTAAGTTCCATATTGAATGCATTGTTATTGGAACACAGGGAAGTTATTCACGTACCGTTCATTGCCAAGTTCGTGGTGTTCGCCAAAAAGATCGAACCTTTCGAGGCCAGACTCCGAGTCTTCTGCATGACCGACGATCGAGAGGACAAAACTCTAGAGAAGCATGAGCTCTACACGGAGGTGGCCAAGAGCCGGGATGTCGAGGTGCTCGAGGGTAAGCCGCAGTACATCGAGATGGCCGGAAACCTGGTTCCCGTGACCAAATCGGGCGACCAGCTGCAGTTGCAGTTCAAGGCCTTCCGCGAGAACCGTCTGCCCTTCACTGTGCGGGTTAAGGACCAGCATGCCGATATTGTCGGTCGCACCTTGTTCATGAAGGAACCGAAGGTGGCCAAGGGCGAGCCACCGCAACAGCCCATCTGCATCCTGAACATCGTGCTCCCGGAGGCCGTAATCCCCGACTCCACCACCGCCTTCTCGGACCGCGTCACCTCTGCCTACAGGACCTCAATGTTCAGTTTGAGCAAACATCAGAATGACCATTACATCGGCGACATTCGCATCGTTGATCTGTCCAACCTTTTGGGCAAGGACTGGATTCAGCTGGCCCCAGAGATTGGCATCAATGCTGAGGAGATCGACGAGATCATCAACCAGAACACAGACAGTATTGCCAGGCAAGCGCAGAGCATGATCCGGCTGTATAAGGACAAGCCCAACTACGATATCCTCTTGCTGGAAACGGCCCTCAAAAACATTGGACGGGACGACATCATGAAGAAGTGCAAGAGTGGGCGACTATCGCATTCGCGCGAGTTCGACGAGACTGACATCATGAAGAACTCGGAGTCCGTGGAGGAGCTCGTTCGCAGAGAAAGTAAGTAGAAGTGCCAATCAGTTATGAAGATCTAACTGTGATCTTTTTATCCTAAATGGCTAACTCATTTTGCACATCTTCCCATTGAATAACCCCTTAAGATCTTCCCCCAGGCAAGCGAATTCAGCAAATCAACGAACGCGAGGAAGTCAAATACTCTGCTGAGGAGAAGGAAGTCGAGGAGTCCGAGTCCGATGAGGAAGCTGCCAAGAGAACGGTTGCCGAGCGACGGGAGAAGATTGTCAAGCGCCTGTCCGTGGAGCGTTCAATTCCTGCCTCGACTCAGAAGAGAGAGATCACCCGCGAGATAACCGAGATTAAGAGGAAAAGTCTTATCGAGGACAAGAAGGCTCACCATGAGTCCGAGATACTTATGCAATTGCCTGCCGATAACGTGATCATCAAGACAGCCACTGTACCCGACCAAGTCATCAAGATGAAGATGGGCAAGATGGACTCCACCGAGGTTAGCAAAAGCGAGTTCGACAAGGAACTGACCCACAAGTTCAAGACATCCGGGCGCAGCTCAGAGGAGGAAGACCAGCCATCATCCCCAGATCAGACCGACAAGATTGTCCAGGACATCAGTGCTGCCGAAAAGAAGGAGAAGGATGGCGTCACCTTCAGTCGGGTGACGACGATTACCCGTCAAGAGGCCCGCGACATCACCGAGGACTTCCTGGAGATCGAGAAGCGCAGCCAACTGCCAGCTACTTCCACCACCGCGACCGTTCACGAGAAGTTCGTTGAGGAGGTCAAGGAAAAGACAAGCCCCCTGGCCTTCAGTGCCGCAGGAGACCGTCAAAGAGGTCCAGCAAGTCATTAGCGAGGTGACCGAAATTGCCAGCAAGAAAGTTGAGAACATTATTAGCTCCTTCGAGAGCAGCAAACCTGTGGAAGTCACTGCTACCCTGCCCTCAACTCAGGCGGCTGTCGAAACAACGAAGGTCAGCGAGACCATTAAAAACCTGGAGGAAGCCAAGACCATGACTCAGGAGCAAGGAAAAAATGTCCAGGTCATTGAGAGCTCAAGTATTGAAGAGACAATTGCGGAATTCGAAGCCAAGAAGGTTAAATATGACTTCCATGGCGGCGAGCCCAAAACCCAAATCCCTAAGTTCACACGACAACCCAGCAAGGACTCTATGAAGCCCACAGCAGCTCCGCGTGCTACAGTTGAATCCGAAATTGATTCAGTCATTGAAATTAAGTCCGATAAACCGATCTCGAAAATCCCCGTGAAGACCATACAAACCGAAGCTCAAAAGGTTGCCGAAGTGGATGCACGAAAGATCACTCAAGACTTCTTGCAGGGCGAGAAACTGGCTGCCGAACCCAAGGCAACGCCAGCTGCCAGCAAGATTCCCAAAGTGGAGCCGAGAAAATCGGTGGACAAGCAGGTCGACCGGGAGTCCAAAATTCTGGATGATGTTGTGGCCTCCACGGCTACCATTATGACTGCAGGTCTGGGGAGCGAACAGCTCAAGGAGAAACCCGTCGAACAGTCTGAAATTATCGCCAAGGCCGAGACAGTCACCGAAAAGGTAACCGAGCTGCTCGACACCTTCCACAAGATCGAGGAGAAAGTGGCCAAGTCTGAGAAGACCTCGGACATTTCCAGCAAAGTGGAGGATTTAGTCAAGATTGAACACGAGCCGCTTTCGCAAGTTGCACCTAAAGAGGATAAAGTGGCCGGAAAGGTGGCAGAGGTAGTTGAAACATTCCACAAGATCGAGGAGCAGATAACGGCCGCCGAAACGCGCAAGCTTACCCACGATTTCCTCAGTATGGAACAGCAAACCCAATTGCCGAGCATTCCACAAGTCGCTGAGAAGCCCCTTGAATCCAGTCTGACATCCACAAGCGCATCGGAACCTGAATCCATAGTTACCGTGAAACACTCGCCGCCAGCGAGTAAGATACCTGTGGTGGAGCCCAGAAAGTCCCTTATCGAGGAGGCTCCAAAGCCTCTGATTGAGCCTGAGCCTGTGAAGGTCACCGAAAAGAAGTCCCTGGATGAGCGACAACTTACCGCTGATTTCTTGAGCATGGAGCAACAAAGCCAGCTGGTGGCCGAGCCTGCCAAAACGCTAGTGGAGGAGGTAATGAAGACAGCCGAGCAAATGGTGGAGCAACCCAAGCAGCAAAAGCCACTTAATGAGCGTCAGCTTACAGAGGATTTCCTAGCTATGGAACAGGAGACACAACTGCCGTCAAAGGTCCTCAGCACTGAGGCTAAGAAAACAGATAGCCTGATCGATGGCATTGAGTCAGCGGCTCCAGTTGGAGACAATGCATCTTCATTCCACACACCCAAGCTGACCACCAGTGTGGTGACCCAGGAGCCACAACAACAACAACTGGCAAGTGGATATGATAGTGACACCGTTCCACTGAGAGAGTCCTTGAAAGACGAGGGACTAGTTCCTCCAGTATCCGTGGAGCCAAGGAAGTCGCTAACCGATGCCGAGTTCTGCAAATCGGTAGGAGAAACGATTACAAAGAAGATGAGCGTGGGCGTGATTGAAATATCCGATGAGCTCAAGAAAATGGGTAAGTCATCCTAGCCCTAAGTCATCTTACCCAACATTTTCTTTTACTTCATATTTCTTTAGAGAGCGAAATCCCTCACTCCCAGACTCCTCCACCCACACCGAGTGACACCAAAACCGATAAGCAGAATGAGGAGCCGGAACTGATCAGCTTGGAACGTGGTAAGTTGCATAAACGAAGAGCTTGTCCTTTGGATAATAATCTGAATATGAACACAGACTACCTGGCTGACACTGTGACCACCCTGCATACGACCACTGAGTCGACCTTCGAACGCGTCTCAGCCATTACCAAAATTGGTAAGTGCGAATCCTGAAATGGGTGGCTGCTCAAATCTATGCTCTATTCCTATGCAATTTGTAATTGTTATGTAAAATTTCTTTATATATTTTCCTATGTTTGCCTTTTTCGGTAAAAGAATATAACTCTATAACCATTATTTTTGTACACCCCTTCTTTTAACTTGAATATATTTTCATTTGTTCTTTTTTTTGCCACAATCCGTAGTGTTTCTTGAACTATTTTTCAGTTCTATCCCATTCCGTTACTCCCACTATTCTCTGTTCCTCTACATTTCGTCTTGATTTAAGTCTAAAGGCTTTTTGTATGCAAAGTACCATTCAACCATTAAACGATTGCGATCTAAGAACTATTAGTTAGTTAACTGTATCTATAAAAACGAATGGCAATCTGCAACTGTGTGTATCTTAATCAAAAAAGTCTGTAAGTGCGGCAGCCAATGTGCCATAAATCGAAACTAACAGGGGATTTCCCAATCCTCGGATAACAAACGCCAAACTGAAGTGCATTGAATGAATATGGCCACGAAATCACGCATATACTTGTACCGAAACGAATGTCGTTAAGTTTCCAGATAATCCAATTACGTTAGCACTGACGAAAGGTCGCAGAAACATGGATAATTGTCTGTCTGGCGCCGTTCTGCGCACTGTATGCATAACACTCGGAGGTGTCAGTGTCGGTGGGCCAGCCAATCAATAGATCGAACTACGAATCGATTTTGCGCTAATAACTTTAACTTGTTATCGAAACGCTCTCCACTCGGGGATACATTCCAGTCGACAGGAGAAATCCTATTAGTCCATTAGCCCTTGGAAGATCTGCACAGTTAATAGCATTTCCCAGTGGTTCTTTATATAATTTGTGGCTGTTAAATCCACCGCATGGTGGTGAGAAAGCCGACCCCTGCGCAGTTATGTCATAGGGCCAGGGGGCACATAGCTACCGAAAGCCGAGCGGTGGCGTATACTTAATTTAATTTGCCTCTGGCATTCTTGCAGTACAGCAATAGCCGCGCTTTTCGGGCAGATTTAGTCACGAATTTGAATTTCCCAAGAACGCGCGATTCGGCATTTGGTCAAAGTAGCGACTACTTAGTGAATCTGTGTTATTTTGTGTTTAAAAGAAAATATTTACAAACAGCTGGACTAACTTTTAAGAAGTACATTAGTGTTGATTTGTGATTGTGGTTCATTCAATGCGCAACGGAATAAACTATTTAAAATAAACTTAACCAAACACTAAAGTAACTTTAAGTCTATTCTATTTTAATGGTAAGTTCTCATGTATAATGACAATTAATTTGAAAAGTTGCCACAGTTTTAGGGCCTATGTTTATACATCTATGATGGGTATCGTTTTCTGATAGGTCTCTCCCATTGTTGTCCTCTCAACTCTCATGGTATACCAATTACGTTTGCAATTTTAAACAAATATTTAAGCAATTGAGTTTATGTTTTTTCAATCAACTACTGCAAGCTACAATTTAAATAATTCGATTTGTGTTTAACCTTTGTAATTACCCTGTTTACTATACTCGTACTCAATCGGCATATAGATGTGATCTATGAATAAGCCAAAGCATATAATCTACAATACTTCTTATATTAACATTCGTTTAGCAATTACTAAGATTTTTTTCATTAAGATAAACACTTTTGGCATACTTTTGGATTTCCGAAATTAAAAAAGAAAACCGAAAAATTTGAAACCTCACCCATATTGGGATCAGCAAGGAGCTGGGCGACCACCAGCCGTCTTTCGATCCCCATATGAGGATTCATCGAAGTACACTCCAATGAACCACCATGGCCTTCAGTTTGCAATGTTTATGTTTGATTTGTTTTTCGCAAATATAATTATGTCTTCTGTTGCTTTTCGTAACTTTATCAATCCTTAACGAAAAAGCATATATTTACCATATATATAACAATAATAGTGTACTGTATCTGTATAAGTCGAGCCACATCCAGATCTCACTGTAGCATCTCTATATAGTACTAGCATATCAAAGTCGTATTCGTACTTTTTGTCATTATTTGCGAATTTGAAAACCAACAGCCACAATTATATTAGCCTCACTGTATAATCAGCATTTGATTTCTTTGCACCCAGACCCACCAGCCCAGCGTGCTTTTTAATGTAATTGGTTGTTTATAGATCACTTTAAATAACGTACGAGTATGTGACATATGATGTCGTGGTTTGTTCCTAATCGTGCAATACTAGCTAATTTTGCTTTTTGATTTCATAATCAACATAAACATTGCTTAAATATTAGCAAATCAAAAATATGCAAACGTAATCAGCTCAGCTCAGCTCATAAATTATACTCGAAGCATTGAATTTTGTGCAGCATCCAAGCAAGCAGAAATGGGCCCAAGAATCCACGACCTCATATGCAGCATCTATACGTGTGTATCTGAATGAAGCTCAGCTTATCTCATCCCAAGTTCAAGTTGGGTCGGTTCAGCTAAGCTCCATCTGGCATCTGTTTAATGCGAAACAGATATTTTGATTTCGCTTCTATACTAAATACTACAAAATAAGCATTAAGTGCATGTTTGTGCCTGCTGCTGGGTTTTTGGCGAAAAGCTTGTAGTATGAATATATGCATATATTGTACTGAATTGTAAGTACGTATGTGTGTATATCGGCAACTCAATTGCACTGTGTACATAGACTAACCCACCATAAAGAACCCATGGTTTGATATTAAATTGGTGTTAACTGTGTTTATATTGCCATGTTTTCTACTCCACTCTACTTCTAACCAAACCCTCTTTTGCCATCCCTGGAATGCCTCAAACAGAGCACTTCAGTGTTCATAATGTAAAAACCGAAACCTTTACAAAAACAGATGAACCTGATAAGCTGCTTCATAGTGTGGTAGCTGTCCCCGATATTCCGAAATTGTACTCACAAGACACTACCTCATTTACAGAAATGAGTACAAGTAGTCAAACACCGAAGATGACAACAACGACGACCCTAACAGCACATATAGATCGCACCAAAGTAGACTTGACTATTCCAGATCAAGATCAGCCGAAGAAGCAGCTGAAGGATCAGTCCGCAGTAGATATAGATGCAGAAGCAGAAACAAGTGCCAGTGATAGGGAGTACTTAGAGCAAATTATGGGCTGTGGTGATGTCAGACGCAAAATAATGCGTCTGGAAAGCAGTGGCAGCACAGAATCAGTGGATTCAATTGGCAAGCAGCCCGCTGTCCCACCCAAATACATAGGCGATAATGTGCCAGTGGTGCGAGAGGTGGTGCAGAGCATTGAGGATAAGATTGGCAGTACAGTGGTGTCGGCTATTCCATTTACGGTGCAGAAACGGCAGCCTCACGAAGATAATAAAGAACCAGATGTAGAAGAGCTGGAAAAGCAGATACTAACCGCAGCAGACTTAGCCCTGGATAAGTTAATCAAGTGTGAACAACCCGCTGAGGTGGTCAAGATTTCACCTATCGAAGCCATGGCCATCGACCTTAAAGAGATTGAAGAAGAAGTTTGTGAAAGAGTTTGTGAGAAGCGCAAGTCCTTTGTTGTAGCTGAAGACTTATGTGAAACGGAAAAGACTTTAACAGAACAGGTAATAGATTTAAATAGGCAAGTAGGACCGGTACCTGCAAAGATTTTAACTGAAGCTGTTAGGAAGCACTTAGACTTAGAAGGTAAGGATGTTACTGAAGTTTTACCGAAGGTTAGGGAAGTCGTGCAGGACATTGAACGCAGATATCCCACAGCGAGCCTAGAGGCCAAGCCGTTTAGTCCACGAAAACGTTCAGTTCCGGACCGTAAAGCTGATGTTTCGTCCATAGAGCAGCAGATTTTAAGCGAAGCCGATCTGATTTTAGACGGATTAGGCTCTAAGCGCATACCAGATCCAAAGGTACCCTCGCCCGTTTCTTCAATGCAAAAGACGAGCAGCAGTACTGAAAATCTCGAAGACGTATGTGAAAAGAAATGCTCAAAGCGCACAATCTCAGATATGGCAAAGGCCTTTGAAAGGCAAGGAGACGAAGAAAGTTTACCAACAATTAGGGACGTCAAGTCGGCAACTACCATGTTCCTAGAGCATGAGTCTTTAAAATACGATATAACTGAAAGTGAAGCCAAGAGTATTTTACATGAAGAACTAACAGATATTGCAGGGAGTCAAATTAGGTTTTTAACAGAATGTGATACACAAGAATTTCCAATAGAATCAATTAAGGATACTAAACTTGTAGAATTTCCCAAGCTTGCACACACCTTGGAACGATTACATTCCATTTCCAAAACTGACGTTAAAGATACTAAGGAGTTTGTCCACGTAGCTAGTGAATATGAAGCGAAAATGGATAAACTTGTTAGTCAGAGTGAACACCTAACAGCACAAAAAGGTAACCAAAACCTAGAAATGGACATCAATGTAAAGTTTCCGACGCACGATAAATCAGACGAGCTTCAGACACATAAGTTCTTGGCCTCCAAGAACTCTGAACTTGTCCCAATGACTGAAAACACGTTGAATAAGTTTCCATCTGATGCAAAAACTTATTTAGATAAACCCTTAATTGAGAGCGATAGTGACGAAGAGCTGGACAATCTAAAAAAAATAAACAAACTAAAACATTTATCGAAAATTGAACATATAACTATTTTAGATTCAACAAGGTCAGTCAAAACCACTCATGAAAGAAACATAACCAAGTTCCCAAAAGCAAACGACAATGACAAAACTGAGTTAGAGTCAATTAAGCCAAAAGACTATTCGGACGATGAAAAAGACAAAGAGTTTGGAATTTCCAAACCTCAAGACAAGCCTGATAGTAAACCAACTCCTTCGGCAACCCCCTTCTCTAGTACTGCAGTAGAAGCTCTCCCTAAAGATGACGTAAAGTCTAAGGATGTTATCTCTCTTAAGGCCGAAGAAACTTCAATTACAATTCAAACCAACATTAAATCAGCAAGCTCTACAATAGAAACTTTAGATAGCAAGACCAGCAAGCCGTTAGATCCGTTTGCAAACTTGAAAGATGATAAGATCCCAACTTCATTAGAAGACAAACCCAAGTCCCCCGTTGGTACGGTTAGACCTATTCCAAAAGAGTATTCGGACGATGAAAGTGACGAAGAGGTTGGTATTTCCATGCCTCAAGACAAGCCTGTTACCCATCCCACTTCTCTGGAAACTCCTTCAATCAGTAGAGAACATATATCTCCTCTTCAATCTGATGGCAAACCAAAGGCTCCTGAAAAGGTTCCATCTAAACTAGATGACAAGCCCAAGTCACCAATTGAGTCTGTAAAGTCTATTCCAAAAGAGTATTCTGACGATGAAAGTGACGAGGAGTTTGGAATTCCCAAACCTCAAGACAAGCCTCTTACTTCTGTGGTAACTCCTTCAATCAGTAGTGTAGATAAATCTTCTCTTCAACCTGATGACAAACCAAAGGCTCCTGTGCAAACAGACGTAAAGGTCCCATCCAAGCTAGGTGACAAGCCCAAGTCACCAATTGAGTCTGTAAAGCCTATTCCAAAAGAGTATTCTGACGATGAAAGTGACGAGGAATTTGGAATTCCCAAACCTCAAGACAAGTCTGATGGTAAACCAACTCCTGCGGTAACCCCCTTCTCTAGTACTGCGGTAGAAGTTCTCCCTAAAGATGATGTAAAGTCTAAGGATGTTATCTCTCTTAAGGCCGAAGAAACTTCAATTACAATTCAAACCAACATTAAATCAGCAAGCTCTACAATAGAAACTTTAGATAGCGAGACCAGCAAGCCGTTAGATCCGTTTGCAAACTTGAAAGATGATAAAATCCCAACTTCATTAGAAGACAAACCCAAGTCCCCCGTTGAGACGGTTAGACCTATAACAAAAGTGTATTCGGACGATGAAAGTGACGAAGAGGTTGGTATTCCCATGCCTCAAGACAAGCCAGTTACCCATCCCACTCCTTTGGTAACTCCTTCAATCAGTAGTGAAGATAAATCTTCTCTTCAGACTGGTGACAAACCAAAGGCTCCTGAGCAAAAAGACGTAAATGTCCCATACAAGCTAGATGACAAGCCCAAGTCACCAATTGAGTCTGTAAAGCCTATTCCAAAAGAGTATTCTGAAGATGAAAGTGACAAGGAGTTTGGAATTCCCAAACCTCAAGACAAGCCTGTTACTTTTGTGGTAACTCCTTTAATCAGTAGTGAAGATAAATCTTCTCTTCAACCTGATGACAAACCAAAGGCTCTTGTGCAAAAAGACGTAAAGGTCACATCCAAGC